TTTTGCCAGTTTTAGAAATGCAAAGTACATGTCTTTTATTTATTTATGGTGGTAGACATTGAACAGAGGGCCTCATACATGCTAGGCAAGAGCTATACCACTAAGCTGGAACCTCAACCCCCAAATCCACATCTTCTAAAGATAAGAAATAACTGTAATTCCTTGTAAAAAAAAAATGTCCTCTCCCTACCCACCCACCCCTCCAAAGGCCTTATGCCTGCTAAGCAAATGCTCTGCTGAACTAAATCCCCAAATTAGAAGCAATTTTTTAAAATTCAAACTCAGTGTAAAAAACTTGTATTATACATTATCAAACAGGTTGCTCAATGTCAAGAATAGAGAAATATAGAATTATCACTTTTTTAATAACACACTTGCCTTTCTCAGGGAAATAAAGAAAATACATCATTTTTAAAAGAGAAGTAGCAAATACAAAGTCCTGGAATATGAAAGCTTATATATTCATATTGAATACCACTCCCCCAATACTAAAAGTACTTCTTTGGAGAAAGGTGTGAGGCATGGATGGATGATAAGGCTCACATGCAGCAATCATAACCTATACAAAAATACATAATGCCTTCTATGTTCTTATCTCCATTAGGCTCTAGAATCTAAATTCAAACTACATTCCAAGGCCATTAGATATCCAGTTAATAAAATAGTGAATACGTTTCCCAGTATATGAAGTCATTATTCCGTATTTTCCAAAATTGAAACTGCTCCATCTAGAAAGATTTTATGTAAAAAGAGAAATTATACGGAATATATTATGATAAGACCATTTGAGTACAACACTCACACTATGGCAACCTCACTCCTTTGGACCACTTTCTAAAAGAGGAAAGTGAGTGAGTCAGGGAGTAGTGAGCTCACAAACCCAAAGCCATTCACTGGGCTCTAGAGAGCATTGAACTCTCCAAGATCCCCTTTTCAACTCAGGGGTCTCTCCTCAGGAGCCTCCATTTCCTCATTTCTTCTCTAGAATACGACTGCTTACGGTCTTTTTCAATATAATGCTTGATAATCTTGACAGAAATCCTGTTTTGGTGGTTCACAGCACATTAGAAAGAACAAAGATACAAAAACCTATCACAGAAGAACAGCAGAGCAACTGAAATTTTTTTTAAAAAAATAATGCTGCTTCTAAAATAAAGAATCAATGATGAGTCAAGCTGAAACTATCTTCAGCATCTTTGTTCAGCCAAAAAAGTGTGTAACGTATTTTAGGAAAAATTTTTTCAAAATTAATTTAATATTTTGTTTTGGGGGGCATATGAACTTCTTTTATTTAGACACTTTACTTCCTTCAGAGATACTGGATGGTGTTAATTGTGTGAGGTATTGGTACATTTAGATTTTGATGGCATCCTTTTTTTCACTATTGCTTTAGTAATAAAGTTTTCATTGTCTTCACCATGAAAGATTAAATATTGGAAGACAATTTGGAATGAGATCTTTCCTTTTCAAATGAATGCAGTGTAGAATATATTTTTTTTCCCTTCAGAGAACTGTGATTAAGTAACTTTTGAGAATCAATGTAGTTTACCAAATCCAGAAAAATGATCATAAAACAGCCATGAAAAAATCCCAAACAACAAAAAATAGTTCATTTAAAATTAATTATGTCCAAAACTCAGATCTTTCTTCTTTTACACTTGAGTTTTTCAACTACAAAATATATGAAAATTTAACTAGTACAAAAGACTTTCCTATGTAGAACCAAAAATCTAAATTCTTAAAGGAGGAAATTTTATCATTTAATTAACTATAAGCAGTCAAAGCTAAATAATCTGCTTCCAGTTCCTTTTCCAAATCCCAAATTAGAAATGAGAAATTTCAAATCCCAATTAGAAATCAGAATTTCATGCAGTAGAATTCAGTTACTTGAGAAACATGCTTAACTAAATGAAAATGGTGACACCTGCCTTGTAATTGGGAAGCTTTCAACTACTGACTTCATTATTTTATATCTCCATTTTCATCCACAAAATTAGCACAAAAAGTCAAATTTTTATGGAAATTTCAATTATTTTCTATTAAAAATCCTTTAGTGCATTGATGAAAATGTATGAAATATATACATTGAAACTCAGCTAATGTCTGATAAATATCCATAAAGGTCAATGAAATCTTCACATATTGTAACAAAAGTAAAGGTATATTAGAGATAGTCATTGACTTCAAGGAACTTTGGCCCAAATATGGAATTTGAAATCAGATAACCCAAGATTATATTAAGCCACAGAAAAAAGACAAATGTTACAATGAAAAAGAAAATATTGATAGAAGAACTCAGAGACGAAAGGAAATCTTTCTTTTCCTCTTGCCAGATTTATATTATATAGATTGTGTTACATGACATTTATATGTCTCTCTCCATATGAAACTCCCATGACTCTGAGAATTAATATAAATATTATGTCATATAATAATATCATCATTCTTTTAATTTGCTTAGGATATGGCTGATTTCCTGATGAAAAACTGCCAATGGACAAATATATAAGTAAACAAAAGAATTAATAACACATTCATTTGTTGAAAATCAAATGATTAATTTTTGCTGCACTACCTAATTCAAGTTCTTTATAGCATAGATTCTATGTGGTCAACTATTTTTTACTTATATATTTTCAAAATTCTAAAAATAAACTTCCTTTAAATGAATCTAAGAGAAATTTATTTGAGAAAAATAGTAGATATTGCTATTAGACCTAGTCATTGTCTGCTGTTAAAATGTATGCCTCTCATTTCTGGGTTCTTATAAAATGAGAATTAAGTATAGAATCGAATCGAGAGACCTGGGTGTGAGTAACCATGGAAAGCTATCAGTTCATTGACCTTGAGAAAGTCACTGATGCTCTCTGAGCTTCTCTTCCTTAACAAGAAAATAGGAACAATTATTTGGTTTTTGATATTTCTAGGAGGATTAATGAAAGCAACTTCTAACCCTGTGCTCAATTAAGTTTCTTTCATTTTATTTTAAAGAAAGAAATGGAGTTGATTATAAAGCAGTTTTGAATAAACTGCTAGCAGTAACGTTTTTGTAGTGTGCACAAAAATATAATCAATGCATGAATGTACCCGTGTAAAAACAAGTATGTATACAATCTATGGAATTGGCTAATTTTTAATATTTTTGGCATTAATAAGTAGTAATCTTACCTGTTGGTGGAATTATTCCAGGAGACATGAGGCCAGGGACAGAATGTGGCATGATATGAGAGTTCTCTGGGGAGGTGACACTTTGAGTCCTCTTAGGAGGCCTTCCAGGTCTAGAACTGAAACAAACAAACAAAAAATTTTACAATTAAGCTGTTGTCTTACACATCATTTCAAAGTTGTTTCAAGTGGTAACATGGACTGTAAATAAATTTGTTTCAAGGACGGTTGCTTTTGCAGTTAGATGTAATAGACTTCCATCACTAATTAGATTACATGCTGAATTCATTTTCCTCATTGAAGATCAGCCACTCCTGATGCATAATTCATAGCCTGCACCTCGTTACCTGCTTCTTCATATTAATATCTATACACAGTTTGAATTGCCTCGTTTGCATATGCTAAAGTTCTGCATGCAGCCTTCAGCACGAAAATTATGCACTAACTTGTAATAATTATTACAGTCAGCCTGCTATTGATTTATGAGACTTTTAAAAACCAAATATGTGTAGTACTTGTAATGAATGATATTTTAAGGTTCTTCAGGAAATTAAAAGGCAATGGCTGCCTAAGGAAATGTTCTGCTTGTTTGATTTAATACTACAGTTAGCTGGGAGGTGGAATGAAAGAGTGATTCAGACCTATAGCACATTTTTCGATGATATGTTTTATTACTTCGCACTGCTAGCCTGATATCTAGATGATAAATGACAATACATATCTAATGTGTGAAAAGGTCTTGCAATTTCTTTATTTTTTGTCATTTAAAAGATAAGTCAAGTTATCATTTAACCCTTATTTTATTTAAGTGAACAACCCCACTAAGTTACCTTATTTTTAATATACTAAAATATATTGGAAAGGCTTGGAGTTATTTGTAGGCCCTCATTGAGAAATTGTCAATGGAGCATTTTACTTCTGTTTTTAGATAAATAAAAATGTTGTGCTTATGTTTTAGCAGTAGTTGTCTTTTACATGCCCATTTTACAAGATTCATTTTAAAATTATCAAATCAGAGGTTGAAAAGGAGGCAAATCTTAGCTGATCTTATATATAAATAACATCAAGGATATAAATTAGCAAATTTTGAACAAACATTCTTATCACTATATTTCTACCTTTTTGCTTCTGTATTACGAATGCATTTTTATATAATGTTCTTCCATAATTTATTTGTCCAGTATACACCTAGATATATCGAAAACGTCAGATATATCTTTTATAAGTAAGTATTTCTGTGTTTGCCTCAGCTGAGTCCCCTTGACTCATCAGAAGTTTCAAAGATCCTTTCTCTTATTTTATTATGTAGTATATGTGGTCATTAAACAAACAATCACTAAATAAATACCTGTTGCTTTTAAAGCAGTTACACTGTGGAGGATAATCTGAGGGAATGAGTTGTTAGTCTTCAGGAACTTATGCTCTTGCCAAGTGCATAAATAACTATGATGCAAATTGTAATAGGCTAAGTCTCATAAGAAAGTTTCGACCCACCTCTTCATTGGAACATAGGTTGATATCTATGTTCAGGGAAGAAAGATGGCAGTGGAAGCATTAGAAGAAAATTCCTAAGTATGACTTAGATGTGGAGAAGAAAAGAATGGGCGAAAAGGATACTACACTGAAAAGAATAAAAATAATAGAAATGTAGGATTGGATAAGGTTGTTTCAAATGAACTGAAACATGTCAGGTAGCAAAATGACTGAGACTGTTAAACTTATTGCAGGGGTCAGATCCTGGAGGGATTTGGGAAAACAGCAGGGAGATTGTTTGCAAGCTTGTCTGTTTTGTTAAGCAATAGGGATACTTTCCGGCTTTTTGTTCTGAAGTATCTCCCTCGCTAAGTCTTCTTATTCTTCATTATTACTCCTCATCCTTGGTTGGCTTTTAACTCTTGGTATTTGCCTAGGATCAATCAACATCCCTCTAATAGTCTCCATTCTCTCTGAATGATCTCTTCTATTGTCATCGCTTAGATGCTAAAGACTAATGGCTAAATATACATCTACAGCCCAGATCTTCCTCCTGGGATTCAGACAGATTGATGCCTATCTAGTAAACATCCCTGCTTAGATGTTCTATAATAATCTAAGGCTCAGCTTGTCCAAATCTGAACTCAGCATGTGCCCCATTAAAATCTATTCCACTTTCCCTGGTTCAGCAAAATGGTACCTAATTGACTAAACCAAAAATCCAGGACTCAGCTCTGTCTTTTCCTTCTCTTACTCACTCAAATATCATCTCTATGAAGACATTGTTTTAAATCTGTTCTCTTTCCTTTGCCCCCACTCTTGTCTTCCAGATCAACCTCTCATTTATTAGTTGAGCTACTATTAAAGGTTTCCAAGTCTATTAAACTCTTCCAAGACCCACTTCCAACTTTGTCCCACTGTACAGCATACAGTCAAGACAACTCTCCATACTGATTTCAGAGGATTTTTCTAAAATGTAGATTTGACTATGTTTTACATTCGATTAAAGATATCAATTGTTCCTTATTGGATTCATACTCCTCAGTGTGGAACCGGGCCCCTACTACTTGGCCCTTCCCTACTTTTCCAGGTCTGTCCTTCTGTTCCTATATTTATGGCTTATATTTGGCCCTACCACATTTACATTTCTTAAGAGTTTCTTGAGTTGCTTTGGTCCTCTATTACTCGATCTTCATTAATTGTTGCTTCCTTAATGTCAACATTTCTACACCAACCCATCTTCATCTTCCTCTTACTTAGCTTAACCTTAATCATTCTTCTTACTAACAATATCAAGTTTGGGTATTCTTTTAAGACATTGTGATAGTTCACAGCTTATGGTGAGCAACACTTATAATTCTTTCTGCACTGCTTGCAAGTAACGTATTTATCTGTTTTGCTACCAAGATTATATGGCAGACTGCATAAAATGGGGCCTTTGTATCGTTAAAACTAAGAATGACACCTAGCCCATTATATTTGTTTAAATAAATTTTAACGTATTTATGAAGCCATTTCTCCCCAAATTCCTTAAGCATCTCACCTTATCAATTCCAGTGATCCAAAAAACTTCCAGGATATAAAAAGTAATGCACAATGTTTGAAATTCCAAGTCTAAACATAATGCTAAATATACATCTCAAGTCCAGAGAAAAGGGAGAGGAATGGAAGACCTCTATCAAGATGCCATAGAGCAGGTAGAAAATGCAGAGGAAGTTAAAAGATTTAAATTTCTAGTCCTTTAGCTTGTTTTAAAGAAAATGAAACCTTGCAGGAGTGCTTTATTATTCTGGCCACAGGAGTTGTCCTCACGGCTTTCACTCTGGAAGGAGAAGTCAGGCTCCTAAGTAGGAACACTTTAACTCATGCTGTGATTAGAGCAGACCCAGTGGGCTCCTTTCACTACTGATTTCTGCTGCCCAATCTATCACGTTGCCTCAAATTCCACCAATAGAGATTTATTGCTTTCAGACTCAAAGCTTGAAGTTCTTTTAAAACCTTCCATTAAAATGCAAATACCCTTGGTGGTGGTAACACCCTAAAGCCATCAACAGACACCCAACTGGGGATTACTTTACAATTAGGTGAGAGTGCAGTAGTGAAGAACAGAAGGGGCCAAAAGAAAAGACTTGGGAAGACAAGTCAAACCACTTACCCTTTTGTCTAAAGCATAAGACCATTGGGAACTTCCCTGAGAGTTATACAAAACTTCTCAGTTGAGGGGAAGCAGAAAAATTTATTTATTGATAAGACCTCATTCCTGTTGTCATTCCTTCATGACCTACCACTAGGTCCCCTGATTAACAGACTTGGTATTCTTTCGATATTACAATTTTGCTAACTTCTAGAGGACCACTACTTCCCACAAGACTCTAAGGAAGATAACTTAATTGTAAAACACTTGAGGGCTAGGGCTGTGGCTCAGTGGTAGAATGCTTGCCTAGCATGCATGGGGAACTGGGTTTGGTCTTCAACACCACCTAAAAATAAAATAAAGGTGTTGTGTATATCTACAACTAAAATAGAAAATGTTTTTTTTAAAAAAATAAAATAAAACACTTGAATATTCAAATTCCTTTCAATAAAGTTTTAGGGATTTTTCCAAGAGAATCAATCTATTTATCTTCCTATCTATCCATTCATCCATCCATCCATCTATAGTACTGTGCTCAGAAGCACATATTTTATTGTCTGTTCAGATCTAACTATAATACTGGCTCTATCGGTTTATTAGAAAGTATACCCTTAGTCAAGTTACTCACCTTTTCTGACTGTCTAATTAAATAAGGGCTTTGGGGGAAAACTAGTATGTTTTGTTGGAAATCAGTAATTCTTAGAAAGAAAAGCTAAAATACTAACCGAAAAGAGGAAGTGAAATAATTTGCAAAAATATTCAGAATGATCAATTGTCTCAAGAGCAGCCACACTATAGTGACCCACTTCTGTCCCAGAGGATCAGTCCCAGTTCTAGTCAAACAGAAGATCTCACTTAAATCATTACCCTCAGAAGCTTGAATAAAATCACAACTTCAGACTTTTGTCCTTGTCAGCCTTCTTCCCACAGTAGCCACAGTTCTTCCTTTAGTATTTTCAACCAAATGCATTACAAGAGGACTACAGTTTAGGAATGCCCAAATCCATACTTTATATCCAAAGCACTTAGAGTCTCACCCAGGCACACTCTCTCCTGCAGTCCTGAACAACAACAAAAAAAAAAGGTTTCATTTTCAGACAGATGCCTCTAGGTGGTCTTCTTTCCTTAGTTTACACCACCACTAAATCAATCTCATACTAATTTTTATCTCTCTGTCTCTCTCCCATGACTGTGTAAGGTTAGCCAACACTTTCTAGTCCATTTATTATGTTTATTCAAAGTGAAGTAAAAAATCCAACTTAAAAAAAAAAGAAAACAAAAGTGATGTGAATTAACAAAAAGCTAAACCCATTGAAGGAATGAAAGGCATTTTAACTGTTGAAGGGAGGGTACTTTCAGATTTTTTTTAATCTTCAAGCTTCTGCATAGACATCACCTCCTACTAATCTCTTTAGTAGTTTTTGAGAAATTAAGTTCAACTTTTTTTCCCTGATAAAAGAAGCAAAGAAACAAGTAAAATCCAGAAAGAGACTGTGATGAGTATAAATTAGG